GGGGGGGAGGGTTACAGATAAACCAAACCTATGGCGATGGAGTCAACTCCGACACATAGTGACCCCATTAGACAAAGTAGAACTGTGCCACAGGGTTTCCAAGACTGTGACATTTCCAGGAGCAGACTGCCACATCTTTTCCCTGAGGAGAGAAACTGGTGGATTTCACCTTTATTTTAGTAACTGAGCACTTAAACCACTGGACCACCAAGGCATTCCAGAAATTACACATAAGCCAGTCTTTACTTATCTATGAAGAAGTTCAGAGTGAAGGACCTTTGATGGAAGCATTAATATTTGTGACAAATGTGAATTATTTAAATTATTATGAGTCATGATTTTTATAGTTAGTTCTACTTTTTCCCTACTCTTTCCAGGCATAGGAGTCCTGGTGTGGCGCTGTGGGTTAATGCGTCAGACTGCAAACTCATTTGACTGCAAGGTCAGTGGTTCAAGCTTACCAGCTGCTCCTTGGAGACCCTATGCAGGGTCACTATGGGTCCGAATTGACTCTATGGCACTTAACAACAACAATCCAGGGGTAAATTTCACTAAGAAGGCAAGTAGAGATTTTTAAGAGCATAAATATCAACATGATACATAAATAGGGGAGCACAGTGGCTCTGTAAGGAGTAACACTGGGCTTTGAGCCTCAAGGTCAGTAGTTTGAGCCCACCAGCCACTCCATAGGAGAAAGATAAGGCTTTTGGCTCCCATAAAGATTTATAGCCTTGGAAACCCTATACCTGGTCGCTATGAGTTGGAACCAACTGGATGGCACTAACAATAGCAATCAAACATGAGCAAGAGTGGCTGTAGGGACATTTTTGGTTAATAATGACAGAACTACATATAAGTAAAAAGCAGATAAAGTAATACAAATTATGTAATGTTTAAAAATTATATTAATTTTTAAAGATTAATGATAACAGTCATAATCTAAACAATAAAATGGAGTTTTAATTTTACTCTTCAGCTGTGACTACTTGGAGGAGGTCATGATTTTTAAAATCAGATTAGTCATTCACATTTCTTTTATTATAAAATAATCATTTTGAGATTTTAAATACCTAATTAATTATTCATTTGCTTGCACAATGAATTTATTAATTCTTTTATGAACATGCTATTGTTAAGTGTCATCGAGTTGGTTCTGACTCATAACAATCCTGTATAGGGTTTTTGAGGAGTTGGTGGATTTGAACCACCAACCCTTGCAGCTCAAATCAACTTTATGATCGAGTGCTTAGCCTACAGTGTCATGCTATTACATAGTGCCCCCATAAAATGATTATAGTACTATTTACTATACTTTCTTATCACCAGCACCCCAACTTAATGAGGTTTTGTCTAAATCTGTGATTATTGTACATTATGCTTGCAAATTGCTAAGAAAAAATGTAGAAAAAGGAAGCAGTCCTGCTCTCTACCCTGAAGCCAGGCTCAGTCCTGCATCAACACTCCCTTTGTCTTCTTAGGAAAGTTTTTTGGTTGACCAAGGAAAAGATTTGCCCTTAACAACCAATCCGTGTCACTGCTACGTGATTGTGACATAGGAAGAGTAACCTCCAATCAGAGAGAAGCCCAGCAGTCTGACTGTTACATGCCTCTATAAATGTAAGAGCTCCCACCCACTCCTAGGCCCTTCACCTCTCCAGAACTGAGAAGAGGAACAACATCTACAATGGCCAGATCCATCATCAAAAGGTACAGGTGCTCCAGAAGACATCTAAGAACAATCTCCAGCAAGAAATTACATTCGAGTACTGACTTAGGCCATAGGAATTATTCACTCTATGTGAACAGGGTCCTAAAGGAAGTGGTTCCCCAGAAGGGCATATCGTCTCGCACCTTGTGCGTCATGAACACTCTAATCAATGACATCTTTGAGCGCATTGCTATGAAAGCCTGCAATATGATGCATTTCCGAAATCGTTGCACTCTTACCCCAGAAGATATCCAGAGGGCGGTATATTTGCTGTTGCCTGGGAAACTAGCAAAGAATGCAGTGGGTTTTGGAAGCGAAGCAGTCAACAGATATGTCCACTCCTAAACTCCGTGTACCAGCTTAACTGAACCTGGTGGAAAGTAAATCAAACTTACGAACCAGTACCTAAATATTGAAGTCTGTCTTGTTTTTATAATATAGCGGTATTTCCTGGTATTTTACTATTTCTCTTCTGTCTAAGGCTGAGTTAATTTCTTGTTGTTTTACTATCTAACTGTATTGCTGTTCGAGTCTACAGGGCATCTGCTTTTAGCCCAGACTCTTTTTTCTACAGATATGTATATAAATATCATTAGGTAATTTCAATGCTTACTGTGTAGTTAAGGGTATTGTTTGCTATAAACAGGATAATTTGAGGCAGTTATTTTGACCCAGAGGTCACATATTTTCTTAATTTATGAAGATGAACATTTTAATCAGAAACATAATACCAATGGGCTTCATAGAAAAATGAAATTAAAAAAAAATAGACTTTTTCCATAAATTTTTGAAGCCCACTCATAATACAGATCAATTATTTAAAAAAAATGTATTTTCAAGAATAAGCACCTGTAAAACAATTTAGTTCCTACTGAATTTTCTCTAGAACATGTTGAATAATTCCTTTTATTGTTTTATTTGTATTTCCTGAACTTATTTTGAACAAGCTCACATCATAGTCACGTAATTTTTAAAGATTTGGTTTATAATTCTACATTTATAACATAAGAACACCCATGAACTTACCAATTTTTAAAGGAACTTCATACATTTTACTGAATCTTTCTCAATCCTATCTCCCCCAGCACTATCCAGAGTTTTGCTTCTTACTTCCTTGTTTCTTTGTTCTTTTGCTACTATGTACTGTTGTGTGCCTGATGCCATTGTTAAGTGCAGCCAGGTGGGTTCCAATTCATAGTGACCCTGCATAGGGTTTCCAAGAAGTGGCTGCTGAGTTTGAGCCACTGACCTTGTGGTTAGCAGTCCAGTATTTATCTTACAGCACCACACCAAGACTCCAAAGTAAATCTGTCCTGTAGGACTTTCAAGGCCATTATTTCTATGGAAGCAGATTGCCGCATCTTTCTCCTGCAGAGATAGAGATGCTGGTAGCTTTAAACCACCAATCTTTTGCTTAGCAGATGAACACTTAAGCACCATGTGTCTCTCTAATTAGAATTGCTGTTATTAAGTACCTTCAAGTTTGTTTCAACCAATAGCAACCCTGTATAGGATTTCCAAGGAGCAGCTAGTGGGTTTAGTTTATCTTATGTTTTGTTGTTGTTGTTTAGCGTCGTTGAGTCAGTTCCGACTCATAGTAATCCTACATAGGGTTTCTGAAGCTTTAAATCTTTGCAGGAGCAGAAAGCCTCATCTTTCTCACGCAGAGCTGCTAGCAGGCTCGAACCGCAGACCTTGTTGTTCGCAGTCTAGTACTCATTGTATGAAGCCACCACAATAGCGTTATGAAAAAGTTTGAAATATATTGAGAATTGCCAAAGTGTGACTCAGAGAAACACAGTGAGCACATGGTGTTGGAAACATGGTGCTGATAGACTTGCTCATCAATGGATTGTTTTTTTGTTAAGTGTCATTGAGTTGGTTCAGACCCATGGCAACCCTGTATAGGGTTTCCAAGGAGCAGCTGGTGAGCTTGAACCACCGACCTTGCGGTTCAAATTACTTTGCAGTCTGGCACATTAACCCACAGCATCACAATTGGTTGTTACAAGCCTTCAATTTGTCAAAAAAAAAAAAGAAAAACAACACTATCTGCAAAGTGTCATAAAACAAGGCACACAAAAAATAAGATATGTAGGGATACGGGATAGTGTTGCATGCCACAGTGTATTTATACATCTGCTAAAGGAGCTCTGGTAGCGTAGTGGTTACGAATCGGGCTGCGAACCTTAAGGTCAGCAGTTCGAAACTACCAGCTGCTCCGCGGGAGAAAGATGAGGCGTTCTGCTCCCGTAAAGATTTACAGCCTCGGAAACCCTGTATGGGGTCACTATGGGTCGGAACCGACTCGACGGCACTTAACAACAACAACAGAGAGGCTTAGGCTGTTTTTTGGTTTGTTTGTGGGTTTTTTTTTTTGGTTTGTGTGGTTGGTTTTAACTTTTCTCTTCTATCATCAACAAACAATACTGTTATAATAAAGAGAGATGTAAAAAAAAGCAAGTCTGTAAGCAGACATCTAAATAATACAACTATTGGTCGTTCCCCATCTGTAACCAAGAAGAGTGAAGAAAATAAAGGCACATGGAAAGAATTAATCCAAAGAACTAATGGACCACATGACCCTAAACCTCTACAACTCTGAGTCTAAAAGAGCAAGGTGTTGCCCTGCAACTATTTCCAACTATTCTGAAAGAGATTACAGTGGGAGAAACAAGTGGAACAAAAGTCAAAATCATTAAAATGACCAGATTTACTGGTCTGATAGAGGCTGGTGTAATCCCCAAGATTATAGCTTTTAGATACCTTTCAGGTCTGCCACTGACTTCATCCCATGACTCATCTTTCAACAAAATGATAGGTTTATGAAGTGAAAAAATAATACCAGGGAGGTAAATATTCCTTCAAACAATCAAACATAAGAGATCAAAATGGCAGCCTTGCCCAGGGATAAAGCTTAGAAGGCAGGAAACATAGAAAAGAAATAGAAATGGGAAAGTCAACACAGGGAAGAAGCAAGAAATAGCCCATTGCATTTTAGGGATAGTTATCAATGCCTCATAGGAGTCCTGGTGTGGTGCTGTGGGTTAATGAGCCCAACTGCAAAGCCGTTTGAACTGCAAGGTTGGCGATCAAGCTCACCAGCTGCTCCTCAGAAACCCTACACAGGGTAGCTATGGGTCAGGACCGACTCGACCGCACTTAACGACAACAACAATCAGTGCCACAAAACAAAATGTGTATAACTTTTTGAATGAAAGATCAATTTTCTTTGTAAACTTTCAGCCAAATTACACTAATAAATTAAAATAATACATTTTAGAAAGTGACTATTTTAATTACCTCCTTACATGGTGTACATAAGTCTGAAAATCCGTGGCAACGTCTGTTAGACTCATAATGTTTTAAATGCCAATTAAATTCAATCAGACATGATAACCTAAATGAAGATTTAAAAAAAAGAACAGTAGTTCAATATTAGTGTTTTAAAACATAAAAAGGGAGTGTTCTCATAAAATCTAGGAGAAGAAGAAACAAAGTGAGGAAATAGTTGTTTTGTCAAATGATGCTCAATCACTAAATAAGTCCAAAAGATATCTATGACTTTTAACACAATGTGAGTCATTGTTTCAGTAAGTGGAGGGTAGAAATAGGGATTAGAAAGAGGTAAAAGATAGTATGTGCCCAAATCATTTATAAAGTTCAAATTTGAAAAACATTGGAGAAAAAGATTGCTAGTGTCTACAGAACAGTAAACTTCTCCTAATTATGCCTTCAATTCCCTTGCCTATTCCTCACTTAGTATTCCCTCGGCTGCACTAAAATCCTCTACTTACTCTGTGTGCCTGCTTTCATATCTGAAGATGACTAAATAAATACACACAAGTCTGCTGATTTGCCCAACTTTAAATTCTTAATCACTAGCCCAAGTAGACTCTTAATATCACCTGGCATTCATGCCACACTCTCCTGTTCATTCACTCACTTATGCTTCACACAGATGTATCAATAATGTATGTTCCCTGAAAGGTAGCCTTTTCTTACTTTCCAGACTAACAGAGGATCTAAATACTGTAGAGAATATTCAAAATAGTGTAAACCGGTGCATTGGTCATCTAGTTTCCAGTAATCAATTGAATTCTGCTGGAGTCCTAGTGTTGAGTTGTAGGATAAACACTGGACTAGTAACCACAAGGTCAGAGAATCAAAACTACCAGCTGCTCCTCAGAAATCCCAAATGGTATTGATATGAGTTGGAACCAACGAATTGGCATTTAACAACAAAAGCAACATTCTCTTGATGGCAATACCATTATTGCAGAACAGAACTGCTCCTTGTACTTTTTCTTGGCTGTAATCTTTATGGAAGCAAATCACCGGCTTTTCTTCCATGATAGCTAACACATAGTTCCACCAAGCGACCTGATGTGCTTTTTGCACTGCCTTGTTGTTGTTGTTAAGTGCCGTTGAGTCGGGTCCGACCCATAGCGACCCTGTACAGGGTTTCCGAGGGTGTAAATCTTTATGGGAGTAGAAAGCCTCATCTTTCTCCCACGGAGCGGCTGGTAGTTTCGAACCGCTGACCTTAAGGTTCGCAGCCCGATTCGTAACCACTACGCTACCAGAGCTCCTCTAAATCTCAGCTCTCTCTCTTCAACTGGAAAGTCTGACTGACTTCTGGGCTTCTTACATTCTACACTGCACCATTAAAACTGTTTAAAGCTTTAAACTAGAACAAGGATAGACTTACCACATCTGCTCTCCTCCCACCCCCTTTTTTAAGTGGCTATTCGTAGCGTAGTGGTTACGAATCGGACTGCAAACCTTAAGGTCAGCGGTTCGAAACTACCAGCTGCTCCGCGGGAGAAAGATGAGGCTTTCTACTCCCGTAAAGATTTGCACCCTCGAAAACCCTGTACAGGGTCGCTATGAGTCGGACCCGACTCGACGGCACTTAACAACAACATTCTTGTAAGGAGCCCTGGTAGTGAACTGGATTACAAACTGGGTACTAATTGCAAGACCAACAGTTCAAATCTACCAGTCTCTCCATGGGAGAAAGATGAGGCTTTCTCCTCCATTAAGATTTACAGTGTCGGAAACTATACAGACTCACTCTGAATCTGAACTAACTCCATGGCACACCACCACCACCATTCTTCTTGTATATTTTCTGCTTCATTATTGCTTCTTGTGGGAAGGTAAATCCAGTATCTTCTACTAGCTAACTGTCCAAAAAAAGAAAGTTAAGAGTACTTAAATTTTTGACACTGTCTCCAATGCTCTGGAACCCAAGGAACTTGTTGGTTAAGAAAAGTCAACATCATTGGAGAGGATGATATGAAATCTGTTTTTGTACTGTGAAATCTCTTCTCTCATAAAAC